TAAGTTGCTAACTGGTTAGCAAGATGCTTCCAACAAACCGGCCACAATCAAACCTGCTTGCAAACCTTCCACCACAACAATCTTGATAAACGACCAATCACATTTACTTTATTCACTCGTGTAAAGTCGTGCACCACTCAGGAGAATTCGGAGATGCAATGGTTGGAACGGCCGCTTCCCTACGACTTTAATCTGATTTTGACATCACAATCAACGGAACCGCTTTTGGCATTTACTTAATCATACTTAGTTACTTTAACACAATTGTTTTATGTCTTACCGTGCTAACATGAAACAATTGTGTCAAGCAACGAAATATAATTAAGTAAATGCCAAAAATGGATGCATTATTATTATTTTTTTCATGATTGTATAATGACATTATTGTACAAGGCGAAATGGGAAAAAAAGTGACATTTTTTCATAAATACACCAAATATTTTCTTTCTTATCCTAACTGGAAGAGATCAAAAGCAAAGGATCTTTAGTATTAACAAAGGTATGACAAATCAAATATGCTTAAATTATTTGGTTATTGAAGTTCAGATTTTTTTTCCACTGGAGGAAAGAAATATTAAAATGTTGTAAAAAACAAAAAAAGTACATTTAAAAAAGCACTTTTGAAGGTATATAGGAACTAGGCAGTGGATGTTATCTGCTTGTATATCACAGTTTTTTATTTCTTTTAATTTTTTTTTTCACTTTTGTTGACATATAATCTGTTGAAAGTTTTAAAAAAATTTTCTATGCGTATTTTTTTCCTGCAGCTGCAGGCCCACAAATAACTTTTTCAAACTGAATAGTGTCTTTAAATCCGAAATGTTGTTTTAGATAATTTTACTACAATGTTTTATTATTATTATTTTGAGCAGGGTTTTTTTGTATTTGTTTTTTAATGTAATTTTAACAAATATATTGACATATCTTGCTTTTATGTTTTTCTGTGTTACTAATAGGGCTGGGTAAAAAAATCGATTTAATTGATTTTGAATCGATTCCTTTACATTTTTTCAAATTCGATGTCTAGGGAATGAGATCGATAAGTTTTATAGTGATGCGAGTGACGTTCACATTCAAATGAGCAGGAAAGATGCAATCAAGATGACTTCAAGCCAGACATCTGCAAATATAGCCAATAGGTTGATTGAAGACATTAACAAATGGGGCCTAACCAGAAAACACCCTGTAGTTGTTACAGACAACGCTGCACATATGGTTTGTACAGTGGAGATAATGCAGCTCATGCATGTCTGCTGTGTCACGTCTGCTCGCTCGAGTGAGGCTTCACTTTTTCACTTTTCACAAACAACTTTGCACTTTTGAGACAGTTTTGTTCACGTCTCATGTTTAAACTGTCTGATTTACAAGTTTGCACTTTGTGTTTAATATGACAGGAAAAAATAAATTACATGTTTATTTTGAAACACAGTTGAACCTCTTTCATTGTTTAAAAACAGATCGAATCGAAATTAATCGATTTAGAACTGTATGAATCAAAATTGAATCGATTCAGGACTTTGGTGAAAATACCCAGCCCTAGTTACTAATTTTAAACTGATTTAAAAGGTACGTATCTGTTAGGACTTGATAAGGATCATAGTGGCTCTGGTTGAGTTTTTATTCCCCAGGAGCAATGAAAGGAGTTCTCTTTGCATTGCAATGCCTGTTCCGCATGTATGGATGTATTCTTCACCTGATTTGATTGGCAAATGGTTCTTCAACCAGAGCTGCTGCAGATTATCAGGTCAAACAAATGAAAGCTTTAAAATAGCTGTAAAATATCTGTCTTACTATTATATTTTCTGTGTATTTCTCAAGAATGCCTATCCCTGGCAGCCAATGGAGCAATACTGTAGGTACAGTTGTGTATGTTTTTGAATTGAAGGGAGGAGACAAGGTATGGAGTAGTGTTGCACCGATACCGATACCAGTATCGGACGGGGCCCCGATACTGCCCTAAAA